TATTATAGTTGGAAGATAAATAAGTCGGCTCGATCGGAGAAGAACTATTTTCTCACAGAATATATGCATGAAATAGCAGTTTAATGCGACTGTGTTTCGTAAGGCGTATCTGCATTTTGATTGCATATCGAGAATAGATGTATGTGGACTGTGAGCTCGTTTGTCAACATTATTTTATAAAATATTTCTTTTTAAAACGTTTTTAAAACGGACTAAATGTATAATATTCTTTTTGTTTTTTCCTTTATATTCTTACATTGTCATCAGATTTAAATTTTCTAGCTCGTTAATAACGGGATGTTAATTTAAAGTCAATTATTAAATTGAACCGGAACTGAAATAAACGAAAGCGAGTTAATAAAAATTTGATTAAAAAAAGTCGATCGCTGTACGACGCGGCGCCCTACAGTAGTAGCGACGTTCGATAGACGGGTTTTCGATGCCAATACGTGACTTTTCTCATTAATGACGCTGCTGACAATAGTTAACCGCCATCTATCGGATTTTGCAAGATGTTTGGTGTATACCACAGTCGCCACATCCACGTGGCGAAATGGGTTGATGGATTATCTTAAGGCCACACGGCTACCCATATAAACCAATATTCTATAATTTCCTAGAAACTGTTAGTTTGTGTGGTTAGAGTAAAATATCCGTAATACCAATATTTTTAACAATATGTATAATAAAAATGAAACTTTTGAAACTCCACTATAATGATAACCATTTTAGATGTGGGAGTTTATGATCAAATAAAGTTACTTTTTACGTTTTTTTTACGTGGTAGAGCCATGCTGCAGCTATATTAATAGTATAGTTATAGCACGAATGGGTCGGCTCGACCGGGGAAGGACCACGCTCTCACAGAATACCAGCGTAAAATAGCAGCTTAATGCTGCTGTGTTTCATATGGTGAGTGTAGAGAACCGGAGACCCTTTTTACTGGAAAAGAGGCATTCTATCTTAGTCCTCACGGCTGACAACGCATCTGCATTTTGATTCGTAATCGAGAAAAGATGTAGATGTCTATGGGCCGCAGCAACCACTTAACATCAGATGGACAGTGTGCTCGTTTGTCACCCTTGTCCTATAAAAAAGGGCTCTTCAAACTATGTAAGACATATCAGCTAATAATATCGTCAATAGAAAATCTGTGATCAGCATTAGTATAAGTACATATTTGTATCTATAATTCAATACCATTGCTTTTCTATTCCGGATTGTAAATTATTAAAGTATATAAAGTTGTCCCAGGACCTGGGACAAGTATTCCGAGTAGGTAAGTCCAACAAAAAAAATACTTCGACCGAGAAGTCAATCGACGATTCAACTCGCACGGGCAGCGTTCGGGAAATAACGGCACATCTTCTCGTCAGGTATACCTCAAAACTCGAAAACGAGACTGTACAACCAGTGCGTGTTGCCAGTGATGACCTATGGAACTGCGACGTGGTCCATCACTGCTGGCTGTATAAGGAAGTTCAAGGTCCCTCAGCGACCTATGTTCGTGGTTCGTGGTTTCTCTGCATAATAAACTTAGAAATGAGGACATCCGCAGTAGAACCAGAGTGACTGACATAACCTACGGATTAGTAAGGCTATATAGCTCGAAGAACCGACAACCGATGGGGAAAAAAGGTTCTCGAGAGGCGGCCTCGTACCGGCGAGCAAAGCGACGACCTGACACTAGATAGAGTGACGACTTGGTAAGACATGCAGGAAGTCGATGGATGCAGGTGGCTCAGGACCGTGCTTTGTGGCATTCCTTGGGAGAGGCGTATGTTCAGCAGTGGACTTGTGAAGGGTTGTAATGATGATGATATAAAGTTGGCATGTATCCTTTGCAATGGTGTTTTAGTACTTTTCAAAGAGTATCTAGGCACCAATTTTTATAAGAAATAAGGATATTCTATAGGTATATTCTAGGAAGCGTAAAATATTCAGTCATATTTATTGTACATTGCTGTTGTGGCGACGTAGAGCATTTATCACCCGTTTTATTCCGTGGCATATCCTATCGTGGTTTAACCTAATGACCTTTAATAGATGGCGGTTGTAATATTATAAATACTTGTAGTGATCTTTTGTATTTTCTTTACTTATATATAATTTCCATTGTATTATAATTTATTTGGTTTTTCCTTCAATGTTTGTTCGCACATACTAAATACACCTTCTGTTTCGTTTTTACTTCTCAAAATTTTCAGCGGCCGATTGGCACAAAATGTGACTGGTTGAATGAAGACATTTTGTAATTGAAAAATATAATTCCTAAAACTAGATCTTAAACCAAGATCAAAGACCTTAGAACATTGTAAATATGAATGAAACTTCTCTAAGGTCTGTCCGAGTGATGTTGAGAGCATCAATATTGTAATGCTGATTAAACGCACTTTACAGTCTACAGATTAATTCAAGTTCCAATTATTCCTACTCAATAATTTCTGTCTACGATTTAAATAACCGTTATATTAAAATTATATTTATCTTTTAATCATTCTTTTATTTTATTTTATAACTTTGCCGTGTAGTGGCGGTCAAGAATATCCACTACCCCATACCTTCCCGTGGGTGTCGTAAAAGGCGACAAAGGGAAACAGGCAGGAGATGGGCAGCAGCATCTTCCTAATAATAGCCATAATTACAATAAAAAACTGCAGTTGCCAACCCGCTCGCCAAGCGTGGCAACTATGGTAAATACCCCCCAATGATTAAAGCAACAAACAGACGGCCCCCAGTCCCCGGCGGCCCCGCTATACCTGGCTCCGGTGGCGACCATGGTAACGGCGGGGCAGGGGGTGCTAAGAATCTCCGGTGGAGGTTCGGTTGCCACCTTAGACGACTCGATCTGGCAACGTACAACGCACGCAACCTGAGGACTGACGACAAGATCGTGGAGCTGGAAGAAGAGATAGACAATTTGCGCTGGCTTATTATAGAATTATCCGAAGTCCGAAGAGAGGGGGAGGACACGGTAATCCTCGAATCCGGCAACTTGCTCTATCACCGGGAGGGCGACCATCTGTCCCAAGGAGGTGTCGGATTTATCGTCCACAAGTCTCTCATTAACAACGTTGTAAAGATCGGGAGTGTGTCGACGAGGGTTGCATACCTTATATTCAGAATCACCAAACGGTATTCGCGGGAGGTCATACAAGTTTACGCACCAACTTCGGCACACCCCGATGAGGAGGTGGAGGAAATGTATGAGGATATCTTTAGAGCCATGCATTCCTCCAAAACCCAATATACGGTGTTAATGGGAGACTTCAATGCAAAACTAGGCACAAGAGAGAACGGTGAGCTGAAAGTAGGGAAATTTGGAATAGGGCAACGGAACCCCAGGGGCCAGCAGCTGGCCGACTTCATGGAGAAAGAGGGACTCTTTATGATGAACTCTTTCTTCCAGAAGCGGCCTCACAGGAAGTGGACCTGGTCGAGCCCCGACGGTTTGACAAAAAATGAGATTGACTTCATTATGACGACCAGATGACAACTGTTCAGTGATGTCTCCGTGATCGCGAGGGTGAAAGCTGGTAGCGATCACCGAATGGTTAGAGGCACACTGAACCTAAACGTTAAGTTGGAGAGGTCTCGTCAAATGAAGTCAACGCTCCGTCCCCCTCGTGCTCTGTTCCAAAGTCCCGAAACCTTTCAGCTCGAGTTACAAAACCGTTTTCAGTGCCTAGAAGACTGCAATGAAGTGGACGATATTAATGACAAGCTCGTAAAAACTGTCCATGCGGTCGGAGTTAAGTTCTGCAAGACCCGCCGCAGAAGAACACAAAAACTCTCCGATCACACTCTTAATCTTATGACTGTTAGACGGGAGATGAAGCTACATTCTTCAACAGACTTGACAGCATACAGGCATCTGAACAGACAGATCTCCAAATGCATGCGGCGGGACTTACGCAACTTCAATACAGCTCGTATTAAATAAGCGATCGAGCGGAACCAAGGCTCTAAAGTCTTTGCCAGAGATCTGTCTGCCAGAAAGAGCCAACTGTCAAAGCTGAAGACAGAATGTGGCAGAATCGTTTCCGGGACACCTGAGATTTTGAGTAAGATTGAGAGGTTCTATGGGCAGCTGTACACGTCATCGTTGGAGCCACACGCAAGTGTGAGTAACGATCCAAGAGCGAGTCTTATCCGACCCTATTCCGAAAATATCCCGGACGTCAGTCTGAGCGGGATTAGAAAGGCTCTCCAGCACATTAAAAACGGTAAGGCCCCAGGCGAGGATGGAATTACAGCGGAGCTTCTGAAAGCGGGTGGAAGACCGGTACTTGAAGTCTTTCAGAAGCTCTTTAATTCCGTCCTCCATGGTGGCATTACACCGGAGGCGTGGGGCAGAAGTGCGGTGGTCTTGTTCTTCAAGAAAGGTGACAACGCTCTCTTGAAGAACTACAGACCGATTTCCCTTCTGAGCCGCGTCTACGTGCTGTTTTCGAGAGTCATTACGCATCGTTTCGCGCGCAGACTTGACGACTTCCAGCCTCCCGAACAAGCCGGTTTCCGAAAGGGCTTTAGCACCAGAAGTCCGAAGAGTACAATTTGCCACTATGTCTGGCGTATGTAGACTATGAGAAAGCCTTTGATTCCGTCGAAATTTGGGCGGTGCTGCAGTCCCTTCAGCGGTGCCAAGTTGACTGTCGGTATATCGAAGTGTTGAAGTGTTTGTACAGTAGAGCTACGATGGTTATCCGAGTACAGAATCGGTACGTGCCATAGAAGAAGCTACAGGAATCCCGAAAAGTTCTGCACATCGAATATTAAAACGTCACAAGCTTCACCCATATCACTACAGGCGTGTGCAGACGTTATTACCGCGGGACTTTCCGCTACGGGTCACATTTTGCCGTGTAATGCTGCAAAGGCACAGTGAAGATCCCCACTTCCTAGACAAAATTCTATGGTCGGATGAAACAACGTGCAAGAAAGATGGGTATTTAAATCTTCACAATCTACATAGTTGGAGTAATGAAAATCCACACTTGATGAGACAAGACAAATCCCAATATCAATTCAAGGTTAACCTATGGACCGGCATATTAAATGGAAAAGTAATTGGGCCCTTTGAGTTACAAGGAAACTTAGATGGCAATAGTTATTTAAACTTTTTACAAAATGACTTGCAAGAATTGTTAAACGACGTGCCCTTAAGTGATCTTCAAAACATGTGGTTCCAAAATGATGGTTGCCCAGCACATTATGCCCGTCCTGTGCGAGAATATTTAAATCAAGAGTATCCAGGGCGTTGGATCGGGCGACTTGGTCCTATCTTATGGCCACCCCGTTCACCCGATTTGAATCCCCTGGACTTCTTCTATTGGGGTTGTCTTAAAAACAGGGTCTACTCAAAACCCATTGTGACATTGGACGAGCTTCGTCGAAATATCACTCAGGCTGCTGATTACATTAATAGCAAAAGATATGCAAGACAAATAAAACGATCATTTTTAAGGCGATGTCGTGCATGTATTAATGCTGGTGGCAAACAGTTCGAACATTTGCTATAATGTTAATAACTTAATAAATTACACGTGAAACTGTTTGTACCATTTGTTTTGAAATATTAAACATTTTTCAAGAAATAATACTTTTATTACACCCGACCGTCATTTGGCCCCTGTTAAGAAATAATAGGCCCATATTTTTTTATAACTTGTTTTCCTAGAGTATTATACCATTTTGGAATATTGGTTAGTTGCGTCAATTTTTAAAAAAACTTGCCATACTAGTGTTCATACTTTTTTTTTACACCACGATAAGTTAAATTTGGTTAAAAGTAAAAGTCTTCAAAAAATTTAGGGAATAAAATAAGTTTCATTAATTTTCGTGATAAAACAAGAGTTATTCTGGAGTTTTTAAGAATTGTGGTAGATAGCAGTACTATTCAGGTTGCCTATAAAAAAAAAAGAAAAAAAATATTTAAAAAATTGTGGTCATGGTAGTGAAAAATATCATAAACGGTCTCAATTTCTGAAGAATTTCATTTTTTTTATATCACTTAAAATATAATTGGGATATATATTTTTTTCTTTTTTTACCCGATTAGTCCGGGGCAGGTCTATCCTCCGGTGTTGGCTTATCGTTGAATTTTGGGACACGTTGTATATATATATATATATATCAACTATCTGTCAGTGATAGTCCCGTCAAAATCGGTCCAGCCGTTTCAGAGATTAGCCGGAACAAACAGACAGACATACAGACAGACAAAAATTTTAAAAAGTGTGATTTTGTTATAAGTGCTAATTATACTTTCATATGCTAATTATACTTTCATATTTTAGGGAGTTTATTAATTAATTTAGGAATAATGATCTTATTTTGATGATCTCCATATATATTTTGTTTTAGCTATAATTAATTTAGGGTTATATATACTTCTAAGCTGGTGTTTATACATTGGTAGGACTTGCAATTTTGTATTAAAGAACTGTTCAACAAGTAAGGTAAGTTTTAGTTTTTCTTCAATAGGCAGAATACCGCAAAATTTAAATAATTTGTTGTAGTTATCCTTATATTGTTGTTTGATTTTAGGTGGGACAATTGTTTGATGATTCTAAGCTGTAATTCATGGATATTATAAAGATGCGATTTACAGGTTCTACCATAGCTACTTAAACCGTAATGTATTATCGATTCGGCCAGAGCCTTGTAAAGGGATAACAGTATAGGATAGGGAACTTTATATTTAATTATAGAAAATTTGGCAAGTATGGCCCTTAACTTATCACACACTTTATTAATATGGTGCGTCCATTTAAATCGACTGTCTATTATGAGTCCAAGGTAAGGTTGTTGTTCTACTATATCGATATGATTACAATTACAAGTATGGTTAGACATGTTATTATGAAGACATTGGTGGCTGTGGGCAATGAGTTTTAATGGAACGGATACTCTATTTCGACTGGACGAAATGTACATCAATTTTGTTTTGGTGGCGTTCAGAATTAGTCCTGCATCGTGAGACCATTTCATAAGGTTGGTGAAATCCTCTTGCAATTTCTGTAAATTATTATTGAAATTATTATTAAATTATTAATTATTGAAATTTTAAAAATACATTACTTTCAAAAGAGAACTTTCTGTTAGCAATATTTTCGTAATTGGAAAGGAAGTGGTAACTAATACACAGAAATTTCGTTTCGTAAGTAAACTGTAACCGTTGTAACTTCTTTTGACGATACACTATATACTAATAAACTTTTAAGAATAGAACCATCGTCAACTTTATTTACTTTACTTGATGATATCCTTTACGTCTCAGAAATTCTTTATATGCTCACTATTGATAGTCTTAATTTTAAGGGTTGATTTCAGTTAGTGTTGTAGGAAAATTTCGCGAGGATACCTGGTACCGGGATATTAAAATATATAATGGACTTGTAACAACCAACAACTGCTCCTACGCTGGTAAGGAAGGGCGGAGTAGAGGGAGGCCTATTCCCAGCCAATGACCTATGTATGATGTTACTTTATTTAGTAACTTTTGTAACGTCTGTGAACTTCAACGTGAAAATAGTATTAACTTATTTCCAATCTTGTAAGTTTTCTTTAATTTCGAGATTAATAAGAATAATACGAAGTACGAAAAGCTCTTCTAAACAACTTTTGATTGAAATCGAAAACTTGCACTCCATACGTCTAGATTGTTTTAACCTTTAGTAAACTTGTTTATTAACAAAGTTACGTTTTACAAGATTTATAATTTTCTTGTACGAGAGAGATTTACTTCGGTGAATACATTGCTGCCACTGCTGTTCATAAGACTCCCCCATATATATTTGCTATAGATGCTAGTTTTGGCAGGGGCGTAAGAATATGCTGCAGTTCATCTGACGAATGGAAATGACATATATCATTGTTAAATTACGCGTAACAGCCACCTTCACGACTTAACGTTGATTACATTCATTTTTATAGTTTTCTGTAAGCTTAACGTTTATAAAATAAACACTCCTGTGTTTTGGTTTAAAGCGTAAATGAGCCAATTTATATATGATCTTTTAGTTCTTATGGTTAGCATTGCATCTGTGAGCTTTCTTAAGTCGGTTGCAGGTCTATGGGCTGCAGTAGCTACTTACTGGATCTTCTTGTTTGTCACTCTTATATGATTAAAAAAACTGTGTTTAAGAGCGTATTGAAAACCCAATATTTTTTCTTTTTTTGCATGTATGTTAAACTATATCTTAGTATATAGCTTCATTTTAATAGACGCTAGTAATACATTTATTTTTATTTGTTAATCAATAATATAATACGTTTAACAATAAGTAAAATAAGGAACTTCGTTCCAACCGAGTGTTCCACGACACTCACGCATGTTTTTTTTAACGTAGATAACTATTGCGACGACATGGAGATTGTGTTATTTCTTAGTCCACTCAAAAGGGCACAAAATCAACTTTAAATTAAAATAAATTAAAAAAAATAATACGTGGTAGAGCCATGTTGCAGCTATATTAGTAGTATAGTTGTAGCACGAATGGGTCGGCTCGACCGGGGAAGGACCACGCTCTCACAGAATCCCAGCGTAAAATAGCAGCTTAACACTGCAGTGTTTCGTATGGTGAGTGTAGAGAACCGAGAACCTTTCTTACCCATCGGTTGTCGGTTCTTCGAGCTATATGGCCGGCTCCTTGCCACTTCAGCTTACTAATCCGTTGGGCTATGTCGGTCACTCTGGTTCTACTGCGGATATCCTCATTTCTGAGTTTATCACGCAGAGAAACTCCGAGCATAGCCCTCTCCATAGCTCGCTGAGCGACCTTGAGCTTCCTCATCCGGCCAGCAGTGAAGGACCACGTCTCAGTGCCGTATGTCGTCACTGGCAACACGTACTAGTTGTACAGTCTCGTTTTCAAGTTTTGAGGTATACCTGACGAGAAGATGTGCCGTAATTTCCCGAACGCTACCCAACCGAATTGAATCCGTCGATTGATCTCTCGGTCGAAGTTGGACTTACCTAGTCGGACTATTTGTCCCAGGTAAGCATACTCGTCGACAACTTCGAGTTTAGTGCTCCCAACAACTACCGGCATAGGTGTGACATGGACATTAAACATGATCTTCGTTTTGTCCATGTCCATCTTAAGACCTATCCGTCGGAAAGCACTATTGAGGTCATTGAGCATAGTCCAGGATCCTCCAGCGATTCTGCCATATGGACTATATCGTCGGCAAATCGAAGGTGAGTGATGTACTCGCCATTGATGTTGATACCGTATCCTTTCCAGTCCAGAAGCTTGAAAACGTCTTCCAATGCAGCGGTGAAGAGTTTCGGGGATATGACGTCACCCTGTCTTACACCTCTCTGCACTTGGATAGGTTTCGTACTCTGGTTCTGTACTCGGATAGCCATCGTAGCCCTACTGTACAAGCACTTCAGCGCTTCGATATACCGACAGTCCACTTGGCACCGCTGAAGCGACTGCAGCACCGCCCAAATTTCGACGGAATCAAAGGCTTTCTCATAGTCCACATACGCCAGACATATTGGCAAATTATACTCCTCTGACTTTTGTACAATTTGCCGAAGGGTATGTATGTGGTCTATGGTTCTAAAGCCTTTTCGGAAACCGGCTTGTTCGGGAGGCTGGAAGTCGTCAAGTCTGCGCGCGAGACGATTCGTAATGACTCTCGAAAACAGCACGTAGACGCGGCTCAGAAGGGAAATCGGTTTGTAGTTCTTCAGGAGAGCGTTGTTGCCTTTCTTGAAGAACAAGACCATCGCACCTCTGCTCCACGCCTCCGGTGTAATGCCACCATGGAAGACGGAATTAAAGAGCTTCTGAAGGACTTCAAGTACCGGTTTTCCACCCGCTTTCAGAAGCTCCGCTGTAATTCCATCTTCGCCTGGGGCCTTGCCGTTTTTAAGGTGCTGGAGAGCCATTTTAATCTCGCTCAGACTAAAGTCCGGGATTTCATCGGAATAATGTCGGATAAGACTCGCTCTTGGATCGTTACTCACACTCGCGTGTGGCTCTAACGATGACGTGTACAGTTGCCCATAGAACCTCTCAATCTCACTCAAAATCTCAGGTGCCCCGGAAACGATGCTGCCACATTCTGTCTTCAGCTTTGACAGTTGGCTCTTTCTGGCAGACAGATCTCTGGCAAAGACTTTGGAGCCTTGGTTCCGCTCGATCGCTTCTTCAATACGAGCTGTATTAAAGTTGCGTAAGTCCCGCCGCATGCATTTGGAGATCTGTCTGTACAGTTGCCTGTATGCTGTCAAATCTGTTGAAGAATGTAGCTTCATCTCCCGTCTAACAGCCATGGGATTAAGAGTGTGATCGGAGAGTTTTTGTGTTCTTCTGCGGCGGGTCTTGCAGAACTTAGCTCCGAACGCATGGACAGTTTCCACGAGCTTGTCATTCATATTGTCCACTTCATTGCAGTCTTCTAGGCACTGAAAACGGTTTTGTAACTCGAGCTGAAAGGTTTCGGGACTTTGGATTAGAGCACGAGGGGGACGGAGCATTGACTTCATTAGACGAAACCTCTG